ACCTCCTTGATCCACTACAGTCTGGCTTCTGTCCCCTACACTCCACCGAAACCGCCCTACTCAAAATCACTAATGACCTGCTAACCGCCAAAGCTAGTGGCCACTACTCAGTCCTCTTACTCCTCGACCTCTCTGCGGCCTTCGACACAGTCGACCACCCCCTCCTCCTTAATAAACTACACTCCCTCGGCATCAGAGACTCCACTCTCTCCTGGCTCTCTTCCTATCTATCCCAAGCTCCTTCAGCGTTACCTATAACGCTACCACCTCCCCCCTTTCTCCCTCTCTCTGTTGGGGATCCCCAAGGCTCTGTCCTCGGGCCCCTTCTCTTCTACATCTACACCTCCTCCCTCGGCAAACTGATACACTCCCGCGGCTTCAAATATCACCTCTACGCTGATGACACTCAATTTTACCTCTCCACCCCTCGCCTCACCCCTTCAGTCTCTGCCTGTATCACCCACCTACTGAACGACATATCAGACTGGATGTCGCTCCATTTCCTCAAATTGAACCTTTCCAAAACTGAGCTCCTGATTTTCCCCCCAGCCCGTGCCCCCCCCCTCTCATCATGACCAACAACATCACCATCAGTCCCACCCGCAAGCCAAAGTCCTAGGTGTCACTCTAGACTCAGACCTGTCCTTCCAACCCCATGTTTTTTTTGGGGTCTCCAATCATTGGCAAACTCGTGCAGGCTCCACCTCCGCAACATCTCCAAAATACATTCATTCCTAACCCCAGACACTAAAACAACTCATTCACTCCCTTATCTCACGTCTGGACTACTGCAACTCCCTTCTCACCAGCCTACCTCATCGCAGACTATCCCCGCTTCAGTCTATCTTGAACTCAGCGGCCAGACTCATCCACCTTACCAAACCGCTCCGTATCCGCCACCCCCCTCTGTCATTCCCTCCACTGGCTTCCGATTGCCCCCAAACGCATTAAATTCAAAACTACTAACACAGACAAACAAAGCTATTCATAATGCTGCCCCAAACTACCTCACCGACCTGATACCCAAATACCACCCTACCCATAATCTTCGTTCCTCACAAGACCGCCGACTTTCTAGCTCCCTGGTCTCCACCTCCCATGCCTGACTGCAGGACTTCTCCAGGACTTCCCCCATCCTCTGGAACTCACTACCCCCCAATCCATCAGACTGTCACCTACCCTCCTCACCTTTAGGCGCACCCTGAAAACCCATCTCTTTAGGGAAGCCTACCCCGCCCTCACCTAACAGCCGATCTCCACTCCTCCTACCACTCCATCCCCCACAGCCACTTCCTCCTGTACCACTATCCCTCCCTCCTAGATTGTAAGCTCGAAAGAGCAGGGCCCTTGAACCCCTCATGTTTTGTTTTGTTACTGTATTGTCTGATGTTCTGTCCTCCACTATAATGTACAGCACTGAGCAAACCTTTTAGCACTATATAAATACTGAATAATAATAATTCGAGCTTTGCACCACTCCCAAGAACCTTCACAAGGCTGCTGTCAGCCACCACAGCTGTTCTGAAACTCAGGGGTCTTCAGATATTTTAATACCTCAATGATATCCTTCTGTTGGCCCTGTCAAGGAGTCTTCTAATGAATCACATGTCTCTAACTTGTAACAACACACTCAAATGCTTTGGATGGATAATCAACCATCAAAAGAGTCAACTGTAATCAACGTAGTTCCTGCTACATCTTTCTCCCCTAGAAGAAAGTCCAAAAGATCCAGTCTTGGATGAGGGAAGTAATGAGCAAGCCTTGCTTATTGGCAAGAGAATACATGCAGTAACTAAGCCTTCTGTTATCCACCATCTCAGTTGTTCCTTGGATCAGATGCTGAGGAAGGAAGTTTCAATTCAGTTTCCTTCACTAGTGGGATCATCATTTATTGAACTGGAAGATCCTCATACCAGGTTCGATATAGCCATTTATTAACCCGATAGATGGTTTTGCGTAATCGGTAAGGGCAGTGTCCCTCTCGAGCTTCCAGAACCAGGCTGGTGGATTGGGGGAGTCCACAGCTTTGGTCACCAGGTTCAAGATCATTAGAAGAGACACTGAGGCAGAGTTAGTAGCTTCCCTGATTCACTCTGCTAGCGTTCCAGTATCTGTTACATGGAAAAGTGGTGCAGGTGCTTTCAGAAAATTGGACTACAGTGGCTTGCTTGTCCTGTCAAGCAGGCACCAGAAGCTTGCCTCTCCTAAGAATAGCCTGTCAAATCTTCCTTTGAGCAAAAAGGGAATTTACCCTTCTTCATACCTTTCAGGAACAGAGAACATTAAGGTGGACCAGAGTAAGAGTTTGGTAGATCATAGCGTATGGGGCCTTGATTCAAAATTGTTGTAGAAAAAGCCTGGGCGCAACCAGACGTGAATCTGATGGTTGTCAGCAATAAACTTCCAGTTTCCCTCTATTTCTCCTAATTCGGGACCAGCAAACCTTGAGCCAAGATGTCCTTTCCAGACCATGGAGGTATTGCCTAGTGCACATCTTTCCTCCAATCCCTCTAATTCTAACGGTTCTCCTGCACATACAACACAAAGTGGGAGCAATAATAGCCCTGGCCGAGCCAAACTTGGGTTTCCCCCCTTGTATAGAGCATAAGGCTAGAACAACCAATTCCACTCCCAGTTTGTTTGGATCTCCTTGTTCAGAAATGGGGTGTTCCATCTGAACCCCACAAGTCAGAAAGGAATAGCTTGGAAGTTGAGAGGTGGTCTTTAAGACATCTGGAGCTGTCAAAGGGCATAGTTGACACCTTGTTGCAAGCTAGGAAAAAGTCAACTATTTTGACTTTCCATTGGGTATGATTATGGAAATCCTTTCTTTTGCGACTCTTTCTGGCAAAAAATTGGAATGCTTCAATTCCCTCGGTATCTAATGTTCTTAAATTTCCACCTGCAAAACAGTTTTAAAAGTGGCCCTTGGTTATACAGTAATTAGTTGCAAATTCAAGTTTCCAGTCCTCTCAGCCATGGCAAGTAAAAGATGGAACTATAAACCCTTAGGTCATTCATTTTCTGAAGCCAGCAGTGAAGATTAGATCACTAGTGGAAATTTGTCACTTGGTTTCAATGTTTCTTGCTGGCACCACCATTTTACCTGATAACTTTGTGTTCCTTATTCCATGTGGCTCTGAGGACATATTTCTTGATGGCAATTGCACAAGGAGAGCATCTGACATGTATGCCTTTTTTAGCTAGAGAGCCATACTGCTGGATCCTGCAAGACAGAGATCTGTTAGGAATGGACTGGCCAGCAATGGTGGGACTCACCTGCCTTTTGATCTGCAGTACCAGGGCTGGCCAGCGGGTGCTCCCGCAGCAATCAGAGACTCAACCTTTCAGCCAGCTAACACCTGGAACTGATGATGCTGGGGTATTTAAGGGATGGCCAGACCCCACAGACTCTGCCTTGGTGTTGTGTTTGGTCCTGGCCCCGCCCTGTATCTGTCCTGCATCCTGTATTTCTGTCCCTCTGCCTGACCCTCTGTACTACGCTGCTTGTTACCTGTTTTGATCTCTGGCTTGTGACCCTGACCATCCCTCTGCCTGACCCTACGTAGTACGCTGCTTGCTACCTGCTGAACCTGGCCTGTGACCCCGACCATTCTCTGCTTGCTCCCCCTGTACCTACCTGCCCAATTGATATTGACCCGGCCTGCCTGACGACGCTTGCTTGTATGTACTGTTATCTGTGGGTGGTTTGGTTTGGTTTGTTTGCACTGTATTATGTTTAGTATTTGCACTGCGTTTATGTTTGTATGGTTAGTGTTAATAAATTGTATTGTTTATCACATATCTGAAGTCTGCGTTTCCCTGCATCAGTCAACCACACCTCTGGTCATACCTGGGAGCCCTGACATTACACCAAGGCCAATCCTGACCAGAAGTGGCTGCACAGGGAAGCCATCTTGGCTTGTTGATGGGAAGGATGGATCTTGATGAGGTTGAATATTTATATCTGCTAGTGTTTGATGACAGGGAGTATGCTTATCAAACTCTGAAGGAGTATCCCCGGGATGAACTGCTAGAATGTATACGGCTCGCTCTTGTTCTAGTAGATCAGGGCACAGAGTTCTCTGAGGTGCAGCATCCCCCCCCCCCTCCCGCCTTTGATTGAGGTTTGTGCTGAGTTGGTTTCATCTGTTCCCAATCCCCCGAATGCAGGGATGAATTTTTGCCACCATTTAGTTGCAGACCAGGTAGAAGTCCCTGGTGTGGTTATTAGAGGATGATTGTGGTTACTTTCTGGAGCGTTATTTCCACATGTTCACCACAGACACTAAGAGATTGTATAAAACGCAGTGCAGTCATTGACCAGACAGGCTTTTGTGTAAGCTCAGCTTTGTTCAACCCATACTGCAACGACATGGACAGACTTGTTGCACCCAGCCTCAGTCAGCTTACAAAGACCCAGTCCTGCTTCTAATCTATTTCCTCAAAACTCTATTCCCGCATTCCCAACAGCTCCTCCTGCCCTGCTATCTACCGCATGTCAGTAACCCCACTGTTCCCACTCGCTGCACCTATCCCTGCCTTTAACCCTCGTAAAAGAGCCCTCTGTAGCAACCGCTCCCTCTCCTGTTCCATCCTCCAGTTCTTCTCTGTCTCAGCTGCTCCATTCGTTTGCAGACCTGCGTTTACTTGCAGTGCTCCAGTAGTTAAAAAAAAACCAGAAAAAAGCGAAAATTCTTTCCAACCAATACCAACCATTTGGGGAGCCTGCCAGTATCCACAAACCGTTACCGTGAGCCTGCCTTCCGTGGTTCAGCCTGAAGCCTTTTACTCAGCCTGAAGCCTCTACTCAGCCTGAAGCCTCTACTCAGCCCTGATTGCCTCTACTCAGCCTGATGCCTCTATACTCAGCCTGATGCCTCTACTCAGCCTGGATTGCCTCTCTTCAGCCTGATGCCGGTACGCAGCCTGATGCCTCTCTTCTTCAGCCTGATGCCTCTCTTCAGCCTGATGCCTCTCTTTCAGCCTGATGCCTACTCTTCAGCCTGATGCCCATCTCTTCAGCCTGATGCCTCTCTTCTTCAGCCTGATGCCTCTCTTCAGCCTGATGCCTCTCTTCAGCCTGATGCCTCTATGACAGCCTGATGCCTGTATGCAGGCCTGATTGGGCCTGTATGCAGCCTGATGCCTGTATGCAGCCTGTATGCCTGTATGCAGGACCTGATGCCTCTACTCTTCGCCTGAAGCCTCTACTCTACTCGGCCTGAAGCCTCTACTCAGCCGGACGCCGGCATTCAGCCTGATGCCTCTACCCAGCATGATGAACTGATCCAGACCTGACGATCCTATTAGGCCAGTTGACTCGATGCCCGCTGTTGATCCAGATGATCCCCGGTACCTGACCCGATGCCCGCTGTCGAGCCAGTACAATCCTTCCGGTACCTGATGAACCCGGTGCTCACTGTTCGTGCCTGTTGACGTCGGAGCCCACTGCCTTGCCAGATGACGCGGTGCCCCGCTGTCGAGCCAATGACCTGATGCCTGGTGACCCGATGCCCGCTGTCCAGCCAGACGATCCAATGTCTGACCCATTGCAGCGGTCATCCCAGTTGACTCGGAGCCCCACGGTTGTGCCTGGTGACATCGGTGCCCGCCGCCCCCGCCTGGGGCCTGAGGACCTGTCGTTCCGCCTGGGGGTCCGGCGCCCGCCACTCCGCCTGAGGGGCCCGATGCATGTCGCCACCGCCCGGGGGCCCGTGCCTGCTGCCCCGCCCAGGGGCCCGGTGCCCTGCTGCCCCACCCGGGGGCCCGATGCCTGCTGCCCCCCGCCCGGGGGCCCGGTGCCTGCCGCCCCGCCCGGGGGCCGGGTGCCTGTCGCCCCAACCCGGGGGCTCCGGGTGCCTGCTGCTCCGCCCGGGGCCAGGTGCCTGAGGCATGCTCCGCCCGGGGGCCCGGTCGCACCCCCCCGCCCGGGGGCCCCGGTGCCCTGCTGCTCCGCCCGGGGGCCGGTGCCTGCTGCTCTGCCCGGGGGCCCGATGCATGTCGCTGTGCCCGCCCGGGGGCCCGGTGCCTGCTGCTCCGCCCGGGGGCCCGGATTCGCCTGCTGCTCCGCCCGGGGGCCACGATGCATGTCGCCCTGCCCGGGGGCCCGGTGCCTGCATGCTGCTCACGCCCGGGGGCCCGTGCCTGCCTGCTGCTCCGCCTGGTGGCCCGTCTGCCTGCTGCTTCGGCCTGGTAATCCGATGTGCCTCTGCCCGGAGTCCTGCCCGATGTGCCTCTCGCCCGTGCCCGCCCGAGTCCTGCCCGATGTGCCTCTGCCCGGAGTCCTGCCCGCATGTGGGCCTCTGCCCGGAGTCCTGCCCGATGTGCCTCTGCCCGATGTGCCTCTGCCCCGATGTGCCCTCTGCCCGGTGTGCCTCTGCCCGAGAATGTGCCTCTGCCCGATGTGCCTCTGCCCGATGTGAGCCTCTTGCCCGGTGTGCCTCTGCTCGATGTCCTCTGCCTCTGCCCAGGAATCCAGACCCGGTGTGCCCGCTGCCCCGGGAGTCCTGCCCGGTATGTGCCAGTCTTTGAATATCCCGCCAGTTACCAGACCCGGGTGTGCGCTGGAACATTTTGCCCAGCTAGGACTGTTTTGGAGCGTCCTGAGCGGGGCCGCCTCCTTGGGTGGGGGGGTACTGTTTAGGAATGGACTGGCCAGCAATGGTGGGACTCACCTGCCTTTTGATCTGCAGTACCAGGGCTGGCCAGCGGTGTGCATCCCAGAGCAATCAGAGACTCAAACCTTTCAGCCAGTAACACCTGGAACTGAGATGATGCTGGGGTATTTAAGGGATGTCCAGACCCACAGACTCTGCCTTGGTGTTGTGTGATTTGTCCTGGTGCCCTGTATCTGTCCTGCATCCTGTTTCTGTCCCTCTGCCTGACCCCTCTGTACTACGCTGCTTGGTTATACCTGTTTTGATATCTCTGTCTTGTTGAAACCCTGATCATTATAGCCCTCTGCCTGACCCTCTGTACTACGCTGCTTGCTACCTGCTGAACCTGGCCTTAGTCTGACCCCTGACCATTCTCCTGCTTGCTCCCCTTGTTCCTACGCTGCCCAATTGATATTTGAACCCGGCCTGCCTTGAGCGACGCTTGCTTGTTATGTACTGTTTATCTGTTGGTGGTTTGTTTTGGGTTGTGTTTGCACTGTATTATGTTTTAGTTATTGCACTGCGTTTATGTATGTATGGTTTAGTGTTAATAAATTGTATTGTTATATCACATATCTGAAGTCTTGTTTCCATCTGCATCAGTCACACACCTCTGGTCATACCTGGGAGCCCTGACAGAGTCATTCTGAGACAGGTTCCAAAATTCTATTCCAAAAAATGTCAACTTTATTCAATATAAGTTGGGAGTCCATACTTTCACCTATCCTGGAAGGATGGGTCAGAGGATGAGTGGAGAAGATGTTAGATCTGGTTCATTTCATTCTCAGTATATCCTCCATGAAATGCATGAGGAGGACACCCGTGAATGAGATATTCTTTATATCCGTTCCACCAAGGGTCCAAGGAAGGGCTTCCAAATAACACGGTACTACTCAAAGTCATGTCTTCATCTCCATGGATGTTGTCAAGACCATCATATTGTATCTACAAAGTCCTAGGCTTGCCACCGAGTCTTTGGAAGTGAGAGCAAATTCAACGAGAAGCATTTCAATTTCGTGGGCAGGCATATGCTAAAAGTGCCAGAAAAGGCAGTTTGCAAGTCAGCAAAGCTGGAGCAATGGCAAATGCATTTATTTGCCACCCAACAGAATGAGTAAGGCTTTTCCTCCTTCGGCGCAGTCTTTTTTTTTATCTACAGTCATTGCAGTGGCTGTCAGTGTTTAGGGGTTTACACACGCACGCATTCAGTTTGTTTGTTGTCTTCTTTTTTTCCCCCTCCCTTTGTTCCTTTTAGCATTGCTTGGTACAATCCCAAGGCTGACATAGGGAGCTCCAGGAATAGGGAAAATTGTATTCCATACTTACCATAATTTTTTCCTTTCCTGGATCCTCCCCATGTCAAGCTGGGGATTCCGACACTCAAGTCTCCGTGTCGCAAGGGAGCAAGTATGTTGAACGCTGAGCGAGGGGGAGACAGACACTCTTATAGGCTAGGGAAGAGGTTATCCTGGAGGGGCCAGATAGGGCAGAGCTGACCAAGGATAGGCTAACATGGGAGGGTCCCAGGAAAGGAAAATTAACTAAGTATGGGATACAATTTTTCCCTAATATATATACTGTGTGTAATATATATATAGTGGAAACCAGCTCTTTTGAATATGATTAAAGTTAAATAATAAAAATATAACATTAAAATAAAATAGCATATTTAAAGGGATGCCCCTAGCCTTCTTGTGAAGTGGTTGCGCACCTGTAAGATGTACACAAGAAAAAGAAGCAAAAGTGACATTTTAGAAATAAAAAAAATGACGTTGAAATGAAATTTCCTTGCCGGTTTTCTCTCCTTGTAAACAGCAGAATAAAGACCCCTCTCCAAAACCAAAGCGGCATAGCAAGCCCTGGCGAGTGCGCTCAGGACATGTGCTGAAATGCAAAACAATTTATTTTTTTAAAGTACTGTTTGCAGGGAAAATCTGCCTTACTTGCAAATGTATTTATTTCTTTCAAAAAATGTCACTTTTTGAATTGTGTACATCCTATAACAAAAGTGACAAACAAAAACAAAAACACCATGCAGAAGAGCACCCTCCAACAATAAAAAAATCGATTTTAAGCCTTTTCCTTTGATGGGGTTTGTAGAACAGCCATGCAAAAAAAACAAACAAACAGTTGGGAGTGTAACCGGATCCTTATCAAACATGAGGGTTTGGTAGTGGAGTCTACCCAAATTCCAATACCCGATCTACCTTATCAAACATGAGGGTTTGGTAGTGGAGTCTACCCAAATTTCCACATACCCGATCCTTATCAAACATGAGGGTTGGTAGTGGGAGCCATACCCAAAATTCCATACCAGATCCCTCCACCCTACCAAACATGAGGGTTGAGGTAGTGGAGTCTACAAACGCAAAATTCCATACCATGATTCCTTAATTCAAACATGAGGGTTTTTGGTAGTGGAGTCTACCCAAAATTTTACATACCCGATCCTTATCAAACATGAGGGTTTGGAGTAGTGGTAGTCTACTCCAATTTCCATATCAGATCCTTAAATCAAACATGAAGGTTTGGTAGTGGAGTCTACCCAAATTCCCATACCAGATCCTTATCAAACATGAGGTTTGGTATAGACATTTTAGTTGGATGCCCACTCAACAAAAACAAATTCGATACTAGACCCCCTTGGGGGCAACTGTTCCTGCCCTATGCCCTAATCCTAGTGACATCAATTACATAAAGATGGGGACCCATAAGCTATCTTTATGTGCATGTGTCTGGCTCTAGACCAGGGAGTGGGGTGGCAAACTTTTTGACTTGAGGGCCGCAATGGGTTCATATATTGGACCAGGGCCGGACCAAGAGTAGATGAATGATGTGTATGGTGTCATCCATAGTAAGTATAATAAGTAATATTCCCCCATAGTAAGCATAGTAATTAATCCCCCATATATAAGGTCTCCCCCATAAGTAAATTCATCCCCCATAGTAGTAATTCATCCCCCAAAGTAAAATATAGTAATTCATCCCCCAAAGTAATTCATTCCCCCATATAGTAATTCATCCCCCATCGTAATTAAATTCATCCCCCATATAGTAAATTCATCCCTCATAGTAATTCAACCCCATAGTAATTCATCATTCATCCCCCATATAGTAATTCATACCCCCATAGTAATTCATCCCCCATAGTAATTCATCCCCCCATATAGTAATTCATCCCCCATACAGTAATTCATCCCCCCATACAGTAATTCATCCCCCATATAGTAATTAATATTCCATATAGTAATTCATCCCCCATAGTAATTCCCATCCCCCCATATAACGTAATTCATACCCCCATATACTTTAGTAATTCATCCCCCATAGTAATTAATCCCCCATATAATTAATTCATCCCCCATATAGTAATTCATCCCCCCATAGTAATTCATCCCCCCCCTGTAGTAAATTCATTTTTTAATATTAAGTCCCCAAGTCCCCCTTAGTAATTCATCCCCCATATAGTAAATTTCCCCCATATGGTATGGTATGTATTGGTAACCCCCCCTATAGTAATTCAATCCCCCATATAGTAATTCATCCCCCCATATTAAGTCCCCAAGTCCCCCCTGTGTCAATTCACGTTACCTTTGCTCCACGCGTTCCTCTCGCCGTGTTCCCACGCAGTTCCGGTGTAGCATGAAAATCTGTCTCCTATGAGGATCTGTCCCCCTCGATACTGGCGCATGTGAGCCAGTTTCAGGCATTAGCAGCCGATCGGCGATCTCCTCCGGCACATGCGCAGATACTTCGAGGGGGACAGATCCTCATAGCTCCGCGGGGCCGGATTAAAAGGTTCCGCCGGGCCGTAGTTTGCCCATTGCTGCTCTAGACCTGTTCTTTAAAGAGAGTGGCCCTTGGCAGTGTCTGAACAGTGGCTCCAGCTTGGACCTTTCCCGAGATGCTGCAGCACACAATAGGTCAGGAGGAAGGAAAAGGGAGCCAGTCTCTGGAAGAGACAAAACCCCTCTATGAAGCACAATCCTATCTACTACCTCTCCTCGTCTGTCTACCCTTCTATGTCTGTGCTAAGCCTTGTGTGCAGGGGAAGCATGCAATTATCACCTATTAATGGCTCACAGTCGTGTGGATGGCTCAGATGTGACGTGGAGTCCATCAGAATTGGATTAGTCAGGTGCAGTTGCCATTTTTTCTTTTGATGCGTCATCGGGATCATCCACTTATTATGACAAGATGAGAGCTGCATTATTGGTTTCAACATGACTGAACATGGATTAATATTGTGGGACTGAGTGTATTTATTGCACTTTTAATTATTATATTAAGGCTGCGCAGGTGGATGACAGGTCTGCTGTCCACTTTGCTGCTGCAGAGGAACACAGCCCCGCTGATTTCAAATGGAACCGTTGGATAGAAAAAGGACCGCCTGCTTCCGTTTCCATCCACCCTGATTTAGTCA